CTCTCCCACTCCCTCATGATCTCTCCCTCTACCCTCTCCCGTACCCCCTCTTTTTTCTCTGTACTTCTCCGTTTAACCATCAAAACTATTAGCATCGAATCGCTCAGCACCAATAACGCCTCCGTGGACACTTTTCTATAGACACAGATTGTCCTTATAGAATCTGCCTTTATACCCTTGTCAGTTTCTTCACATTTTGTTTCTCTCTGAGTGCCTCTCTCCATGCTTCGCAGGCATACAACATCTGCGACTATATGACTGTCCCCAGGATCTTTCTTTTATTTGCTCCTGGTCTATGCGTGGTCCCCATTACTCGTTGAAGGGCTTGCATTGTGCTTTGTCGATTTTTACTCACGTAGTCGATGTGCGGTCTCCACCTCAGAACCTTCCCTATCATCACACCCAAATATTTGAGGGCTTCCGTTATCTTGATAGTATGTCCCATCGCCTTCTGCTCTTTAACAGGACCGCCTCGGTCTTCTCCGGTGCCAGCTCAATGCCCATTCTTGACATCTCTTCTGCTATTCTGGTAATTATTTTTTGAGCGATCATTCTGATATTTTCCATATCCCAACCGGTGATAACCACCGCCAAGTCGTCCGCATATGCAATGAGGCTTACTTCCCTTTCTCTTTCCCTTCTGAGGATCCTATCAAAGAAGACGTTCCACAAAGTTGGGCCCAATATTGACCCCTGCGGAACTCCCCTCGTGATCTGATACTTCCCTCCATTGTATTCCACGTATCTGTTGTTTAGGTTTCCCCTCATACATGTGATTAGGTGTTCTGATAATCCTCTCTCTTTCATACTCTCTATTATCTGTGGCCATGGCATAGTTCCAAATGCGTTTTGATCTTTCCAGATCTTGAAATTATTAAATTAATCATAGTCCAGAACCATAGTTAAATCCAGATATGCCTGGAGTCGCCTTGGCATAGAAAGAACAACATTCTCTGTTACACTAACTGGTATTTCAGCCCAAGCTTTGTTTAGGGCATCTTTTAACGATTGCTTATTTTTAATATCCCAAATGTGCTCAATAGGGTTGAGATCGGGCGTTTGAGGCGGTAAATGTAGTTGCTTGGTATGTTATAAAGAATTCATTCTCGGACACCATGAGCCAGATTTCCAAGCCCTAAACACTCTGTTGATTTTTTTTAAAACATTGTCGGCAGGCGGCAGGTTATAGGTAGGCAGTATTTTCATCCATTAGGCAGGACGTACATTTTTTTAAAAATCTTTTTATTGTTTCCACTTCTCTGAAAGGGTAGAAAAACGTCCTAAACCAGTGATCTATTAATAGATCGATGGGAGGTAGTGGGTTTTAAACTTAAATCTTTTTAAATAAATGTAATATATTCTGGAAATTTAAATTATATGCACAACGTTTTCTTATCTTTTTTTTTTTTAGAAAGTATGTAAAGAATATTATTATAACCATGTTCTTATTATCATTCAATATTTAAATTACGTAATAACACACCATTTGTCAATAGATATTGAAACTAAAACAATAAAACTTAAATTTGAGCTGCAAAACAAAAACGGGTTTTGTGGTTGACACAACTTAAGTTTAAAGCAAAAACCTCAATCACAATTAAGTAAAAACATAAAAAGTTTTAATCATTATGATTCCTTCTTCGAAGAAATCTTGTCGGGTCTCAATTTTTTCTTTTCTGGTAATCCTGGCTTTCTTAACAGGGTTTTATGTTGCTTAGATCGATTGATGCGTTTTTCATCTCGATCAGAATCATAAAATTGAAATTGCCAAAAAAATTGTAGAATGCATGTGTTTTTAAGCAAAAGTCCAAATGAGCGTTTTTTTTTAATTCACTTGTTGATGCTTATTTAGATTGGCTTTAAAACTTCAATGTATCCTCTAACGGCGGCTTCGCATGATTAAGGTCCATTACTACCATCTTTTAGTTAAATTTATCTTATAGATAAACACATCTTCTAGCCATTCAGAGCGCGTGAAATAGCCGTAACCATAGTAATAATCCCTTAGATAGCTTAACCAGAAGATGGTAGTAACGAGCCTAAGGCCCACTTTTGCCATCCTCCTGATAAACTATCTAGAGGATAGTTGCCATGGTTACGGCGGTTTTAAGCGCTCTCATTGGCTAAGGCTTGTTACTACCATCTTCTGGTTAAGCTATCTAAGGGATTATTACCACGGTTACGGCTATTTTACGCGCTGTGATTGGCTAGTAGATGGGTTTATCTATAAGATAAATTTAACTAAAAGATGGTAGTAATGGACCTAAGAACTGGATTTATCTATCGGATAAATTTATCAGGAGATGGTAAAAGTGGGCCTAAAAGTACTAAGAGTAATCAAATGTGAAAAAATTCTGGTTATAACAAATTTTAAATTTAATTCTTTTTAAAACGAATAAAAAAAAGTTTGTAGCTCAGCTATCTGATACAAAAATATCTTTTTGTACAGGGTGTCCAAATTTTGAGGGGTATCTCAGTTATTATGAAAGATAGAAAGTTGCGGCTTTCGCGAACCTGAGCTACTTTTTTGTGAAACTTACAATGACGCAAACCAAATTTTCATAGCCCTCTTCGTTTTTGATATACAGGGTGTGTTTCAAAATTTACGATTTTCAGACACCTCCTGCATCTCGGCTATCCGGAAATGTAAAAACGGGTTCTAATAGATTTTTTCACGTAGAATCCAATGCTGCACGTAGAATTTTTCTAGTCATCACGGTTTTTGAGTTATAAAGAGTTAAGTATTTTAGAAGTTGAGTATTTAGTATTTGAGTTGTGTTTATAACTCAAAAACCGTGATGACTAGAAAAATTCTACGTGCACCATTGGATTCCACGTGAAAAAATCTATTAGAACCCGTTTTTACTTTTTTACTAAGTTTCCGGATAGCCGAGATACAGGGGTGTCTGAAAATCGTAAATTTCAAACACTCCTGTATATCAAAAACGAAAAGGGCTATGAAAATTCGGTTTGCGCCATTGTAAGTTTCACAAAAAAGTAGCTTAGGTTCGCGAAAGCCGCAACTTTCTATCTTTCATAATAACTGAGATACCCTGCAAACCCATCGAAATTTGGACACCCTGTACACTTATTCTACATACCATAAACACAGTAACAGTAGAAATAAATTTTATACCTTGGAATTAGCGTTCGCAAAAAAACCGGAATATTTCAAATTGAAAATATAAAATATAGAAAAGAAAAGGTATATTTTTCTACAAAAACAAATTAAAATATAATATATAAACTTTTGATGTCTTATAAAATAATGTTTTAAGAAAACTAACGCGTCTGTTAGATCGAATTTCATTTTTGACCTTAATTTTGTACAAAAAAATACCTGCAACGGAAAAAACGTGTAGTCGCCAAAGCTTTGTATAAATTTTCGATTGTTGATGTCTTAACTTAATTCTTTTTTAAAGTTATTTCCAAACTCAGTCTTTTTCTGCATCTTGTCACATTTCTGATATCGTTTCTTGCATCTGCTCAAAACAAAGATGTTCCTGTAGTTCCAGGTTTTGTTTCTTCTTCAATTGCATAAGCTTCCTTCAGAGAAATCACTTCTTTTAATGCTTTTTTTATGCAGTCTTTTCTTTGGATGAATCTTTCCATCATTGGTATAAGTGAATTCATCTAGTTTTACAATCTAGTAATAAAGATAGTGTTTTGCCTTCTTTTTCTAAAACATATCATTGTAGTATGCCGTTTTTAACTGGCGGTTTTTTTGAAAAATGTTACTATCTGGCTACATTCTGCAAAATTTCCTCCACATCTTTATCTTCCAAACTTATCACATCGAAATGATAACCGAAAATTCTTGTATTAGCCTGGTACTATTACATATTGAATTGCATGGTTTAGGCAAAATTGATTTTCAACGCCATTCAACTGTGAATATTTTTTCATAACACTGCCCTCATCTTGAGTTGAAGCCAAAATATGAGTATTTAGCGTAATACATATCAAATTCGCTTAATATTCTTTCAACTAATACCTACACTTGATGGGCATCGCAAGAATCCTTTATTGAAATGAGACCTAACTTACAACTGTCTTCCATTGTATGCAGTGTTAAATTTAAATATCATTGTGAATTGCAATTAAACTTGTCTTTTTCTCATTACTGAAATTCACAATTAAATTTCTTCCTATATTTTCGCTTTTTGGCATTTCATAATCTCGTTTTGTTATGAATTCCTGAATTGCAGCTGACCGTGTTAAAGCATTAATAGAAAAGCTATCATAAGCAGCACACTTAGCTAATAATTCTGCCATGGGTTCTTTTTGATGCAAATTTACCATGCTAGAAGATTCAACAGCACTTTTATTTCTTTTCTTAGGAGGTTCGTCGTCATCAATATTTTGTTTAATATCAATTTTGTGTTTTATTTTTAAATGATTTGCTAAAACTGACGTCCTTCCACTCGCACATTTTAAAATTGCGTAAAATTTTGCTTCATTTTCGTTATATTTCATATTATACTCCATATTTCAGCAAAATACATATAAATTTACATACAATACATTTGAATATAAAACTGAAATAAGTACCCGTTTAAAATTTAAACTCTTGTTGAAGAAAAACCGAAACCGCTGAGGATAAAACATCGCTGTCTTAGCATACAATAATTATTTGTGAACAAACAAGTATTTTTGTGCTAGTTGTAAATGATGGTACACGAGATGGGTTATAACCAAAGAACTTTTAAAGATAAAAATCTTGTTCAATTCAAATTTATGTGATTCCTGAAGATGGAAAATAAATCGAAACCGGTGAAATGAACCTGAAGATGCAACGATAACCGAAATTGGTGATTATTGAGTTAAATTAAATTAAAAAAATTATATAGTAAATACAATTTAAATCAATTCAAATTATATTTTTTAATTAATAAAAAAAAATTAACTTTTCTTTTTAAATAAATACTCATTCCGGTTTATTTCTTACAACAAAACTTTAATTTCAAAATGTAATTAATAAATTAAATATTTTCTTTAAGATATAAACCGGAAAACCCTACCATAATAAACTACTATAAACAAATTACAAAAAAAAAAGAAAATTCTCAATACAAGATATTTATTCTTCTATATACACATTAATTGTTGATATATAAATAAAAAAAATGTATATTAATATAAAGAAGTAATTGGATTGGTGCGAAATTAACTTGGAAGAAAATGGGATGGAGTTGGGCTTGAACTTAAAATGTTAAAATAAAATGTTAAGAATGATTTAAGGAAGAGCCCGAAATGTGTAATGTAAAAAAAAAAGAAAGACTATAACTGTACGTTGTTTCCTATAAACATATTATAAAAATATATAAATTATTATTAAAATAAAATTTAATTAACAATAAGAGATGCGAGCGAAACGAGAGAGCAAGAAAAAAAACTTATATATTTAATAAAATACTATGTATATCTTGATACATATTTATTATTACTATATATATTATATACATAACATATACATTAAAAAAAATAAATTAATAAATAAATACGGAGGAAACGTTTATCATCATCAGTGTAATCTGCAATAGTAACGATTAATTAACTATACATATAAACGTTTTAGAGATTTGAATAAAAACCTTCCTCTTCCGATAAATTCCAAACTGAAAATCGTTACGTTTTTCATTCGGAAAAAAAGTAAATAAATATAAACATCTGTGATATGTACTCTGTTTTAATTATTTTCTCCTGCGTTTAATTAAAAAAATCCTTTTGGGATACTTATATGGAAATGATTGTTTAAAATATTTTTTTTAAACACACGAGATCTTGAATTATTATTATTATAACAACAATTTGTTTGATTACGACGATTATTAACCTAAAAAAAAAAAACGAAAATAAGAGGATATCACAAATATGTTTTTGTGATTTTGTATTTTTTTTTGTGTAAATAATTTATTGTTATCACCTAAGTTTCTCTTTTTAATTTAATTTAATTTAATAACATTTTTTTCCATCACAATAATCAAAGAAATGCGAAAAAAATTAATCAATCTTATCTTTTATAATTAAATAATAATAATTAAAATATTTTTTCACTTGTATATTTTTTACATCTTATTTAGTTTATTTATGCCTCTATTTGTATTTAATTAATATGTCTAATTGTCTCGATTTAATTATTATTATTAATAAATGTGTATTTATTTTTTAATAACGAGCTTATTTTAACGAAATAATTTTTTTTTAATATTTGTGTAATGCAGCAAAAAAAGGAATAATTAAGACTCGAGTCTTGCCAAGAAGTATTTTTTTGCTCATTCAAACAATTTAATTTTTAAGATTAAGGATTATTTTTTTTTGTAACAAAAAAGACAATTTCTTAGAATAGAAACTTTTTTTTCTAAGTTTAAGCGATTGACATTCCCATAATTTGGCTCAACACAATTTTTAATTTAAACAAATTTGAGCCAAGAAAGTACTAATTTTTATATCTTTTGTATCTAATCCTTTTTTTCCGATTTATTAAAAAACACTGGGCATTTTTTCGACCATCGACTGATTCAAATAATTATTAATAACATTTAAAAAAAAAACCTACAATTTATTTTTCCATTTATTTTTTTAAATAACTTTAATAATAACTAATTTAGAATTGAAAAAAGAAAACGATATAAATAGTTATAACTCGATATAAATAATAATAATAATAATTGTGAAAAAAAATAAAACTTTCCCGAACCCAATTTTTTGTTTAGACTTTTTTTTATTGTAATTATTTTAAGCTAAATTGATATCTATACCAAATGTTAAGAGTAATTACTTTGTTTATATGAATATATATAAATATATACAAATATAATTAAAAATTTTTTGTAAATAAACGTATCTTTATAAAACATTTTATTTTTATTTCAATTTTTATTGTTTACAAAGATTTCTTATTTTAACACGTTCGCTACTGCGCCTCCACCGCTCTCCATGCTTTGACCAGCACTTTAAAAGAAGCAATTGCAACCAAAGAGATAGCCCTATGTGCTTTCATAGACATAGAGGTGCGTTTGATACCACCTCATATGAATCCATAGAGAAGGCTCTAAACGTAAAAGTGTTGAAATGTTATATCATGAAGCAATCCCAATCAAGCAATTAAAGCAATCAAGAGTGCGTTAAGGTTTTACGAGTAGTTACATATAAAACAAGTGAA